GATTTATAATCCTTTGGGTATATACCCAGTAATGGGATGGCTGGGTCATATGGTATTTCTAGTTCTAGATCCTTGAGGAATCGCCATACTGTTTTCCACAATGGTTGAACTAGTTTACAATCCCACCAACAATGTAAAAGTGTTCCTATTTCTCCACATCCTCTCTAGCACCTGTTGTTTCCTGACTTTTTAATGATTGCCATTCTATTGGGAACATTTTTAAACTATTTCTATAAATAGGAATGACTTGTCCTGGAATGTTTCCTTCAGGATTGCAATAATCTTCTGAGCCATTAAGTTAGTCAATGACCTTGAGCAGCTCAGCCAGGCAACAGATGATGAAATCTCTGATATCCTTGGGGTCCCGGTTGGCAGAATCATTTCAGCTTAGTGCTAGGAAACAATGGCCCATGGACTAGCAAGTCCGCATATTCCCTCACAGAAGAGTAATCTATTGGGGGAGACTTTGACACCTAAGTTTCAGCAAGCTGTGCGGAAAGTATGAATACATGTGTGTTGGTACTTGTACAGACTGGAAATCTGTCTTCAGGAATTAAATGAAGTACCTCATGAAATAAGGTACTTAATAGAAATTTCTGGTGCCCTTGTTGGCAAAACTATCCCTTGGGTGATAGTCTCTATCCAACAGAAATCAAAATAAACTTTTGAGTTTTCAGGTTAACTTTTTTAAAGGGGCATAAAACATTTTTATTTAATCTTGTTCTTTTCTCTTTTCTGTATCAAACAAGAAAAGATATATATATATATATATTTTTTTTTTTTTCCACCAGAGGTATTAAAATGCTGCAAGGGAGCAGCCTCTGGCTTGACCAGAAACACATAAACTTGAAACTATGAATGTTGGTTTGCACATATGTTAAGTTAAAAGTAATGATATATTTTTAAGTCATTACATTAAAAAAAAAAAAAAAACTTTGTTAGCTAAAGCAGAAAAGTAAAATTAAATTAGGAGCACACCTTAGCAAAAAGAAAATCTTTTTACCTATGATGCTCAGATGCTTTTATAAGGCTTATCTCTCCACAGTCCCATAGTCCCATTATAAGAGCCCTCTACAGTACATTTCTGAGTGCCAAAAAGTTATTTTATTAACTGTGCTTAGACGAATCTATTAACAAGGTCAAATAGTCCCAGGCAAAACAATAAACTAGGAAGATGTTGTGCAAACATGGATGTGTTCTCTGACATGCAGAATTTCTGTGGCAGTTTTGGCTTTTAACTTTATACATTACTACAAGCAATTCTGGACATAAAACAATTACCTTGCAATTGAGCTCCGCTACTCAGTTTCTATGTCTGAATTTGCATTTGTGTTTCTATCCCTTTAGCACTACTGAAGACCAAAAGGCATCATAGCATGATGAGTAGAAGCAGAATTCACAATTTAAATGAGGAAACTGAATAGTGAAGAAATTGAATACCCTCAGCAATTGGCAGCCTAGTCATGCCTTGTTCAAAAAGACTCAGTCATAGTGGTCAGCGTCAAGACCCTGTGGCTAGCAAACATGTTACTTCGCACCCATCTTTGCACTCAAGCACATGGAGCAGTTCATAAGGGGACAGTACAGGTAGTTATAAAAAGACAGTAGAAAACTTCTTATTCAATGGAATTCAATGGGTTTTTTCCTGCTAGTATTGCATTTTGAAACACAGTTTTAAATGGCCCATGAACCTAATTGGTTTAAAATGAGTTAATTTTTTAAAGAAAAATTACAATAATGTCTTAAATAATACCTTATCAAAAGCAAAAGAATCAAGTCCAAAAAATGAGACATAAAGCATGCAAATGTATTTGTCTTATTAAATCAATCTAGATGACTCTGTTTCAGGAAAACAAAGCCATCCTTATTAGATTACTTTTGCTAATTTGAATTTATAGTTAGTATAGCTTATTTCTTTGGGATTTAGAGTTGTACTACAGGTGTGTACATGTGTTCAGTACCTATAAGAATTTTTATAATTAAGTAAAATGATAAAACACTGAAAATCCTAAAATGTAAAATTTTTCCTTTTAAAAGAGACCATACAAATAGTTTGCAAAACAGACCAGAAGGGTAATTTTTAGTGTCTCCTTTGCCCACATTTCAGTATTGTCTCCCACCAGAACTTTCAGACCCACTGCTTCCCTCCCACAATTGTTAAGGAGCCCCACAGCTGAACCCAACCAGCCTGAGTCTCATCTAACACAAAGCTACCCTTTCTGAGTAGGAGACAGACTTTTACCCTAATGAGCACTGGTGAAATGTCAGAAGGTTAGTTTAATAAACAAGGTACAATAAATGAAGAACATTAATTCATATTCAACACCAGAAAGCAGAGATGCAGCAGGTGTCAGTTGGGCTGAGGGCCAATCCTATAGAGTGATCATTTAATAAATTGAATTGGAACTGTCATTGTAGGAACTGGGGCATATAAGAAGGGTTCTTTTGAAAGTTTCCAATAATCAAATTTAATGTGGCCTATTATAATTTTGAGTCTTTCCTAAGGCTCACAAATTTAATTTGTTATCCATTTATGAATATATTTTACTGTCAAACAGCTTTTCATTTTCCTTGACTTTAATGGGTCCATTCTCCTCTCGTTCTTTGGCCACACCCATTCCTGCCTTTATTGTCCCCAAAGCCCATTACCTCTGTATGTGTGCACTTAAACTCATACACACACACAGGCACACACCCCCCTTGGGGACAGAAGGTGTTGATAAACTGTATAAAATACTTGGGAGTAACAAGAAGCAGAACAAAAACTGGAGTCAAGGTGAGAGAAAAATTAAATGCATTTTATTTTCTTTGGATATCAAGTAGAAATGTTGTAATTACATATTTTAATTCATGACTTTACATTTCTCCTTCTGGAACACAGATGTGCTTGTTGAGCAACTTTCTCTTCTGTCTCACCTTATTAACATCCTGAAATAATACAACCTTCAGCCAACCGCTGGACTGCCTGAACTGTCTTTTTGCTGGAGATCTTGAGTCTTACAGGTTGTGAATTGCAGAGCCAACATGAGAGGATACTCCTTTTTCCCACCCTTGCAGGAAGTTGTAACACACTGACACTAGGAAGGCTGATTTATATCAGTCCCCTGGGGAAGGATGCTTCGTTGACAAAGACAAGTAGAGTAAACAGAATTTGGCCCATGACTTGGTTCTGTCTGAGTTTTGTAGTGAGAAAAACAGAGCATTCATTTGTGTACCTTCAAAGACATTCTCAAGACACGCTATCCCTTAAATTTGCAAGCGAGTAATTTGTATTATCAAAGGCTCTCTGACGAGTGATCTACAGAGCAACCTTTGGGGATGTTAAGGCAAACGGGGCCAGGTTGGATTTTTCAGAGGGCACATGGTTTCCTCAGCACTTTATCAAAGTCTGTCAGGATATGGGCAAACCTCCCCTGATAAGCTGGCTCTTCTGTGTAACTTGAGCTTCTTTCTTCCTTTCAATGTTCTAAGGTTGCCTTTTAAGCAAAAAATATGAAGAAGATTTTGTAAAAATTGTTTTCAAGCTTTACATTTTTTAGTCTGCTTAGTTGGAGGCCAAATGGGAAGGGGTTTATATGTTAGTATAACAACAAAAATATAAATCTCACGGCTAAGGAGCTCTAACTAACATTTCCTATAGTGACAGTACAATAGATATGTTTACTTTATATAGGAGAAGAGAAAATGTAAGTCACTAAACCGCTGTAAGGGTCAGGTATAAAATGAAGATGATATTAAACTTGAAGGCTGAGATTATATAAGTAAGTCACTTACTACAGTGTTGCATATATGAAATAGCTTTCGTGAATATAGATGTATCGGGAAGCCCTTACTTAGTTGTTTGAGAAAACAGCCATTTATTCAGCTTATTTAGGCTGCAATCAGCATAGTGGTTCTTCTTGTTTTAGCTGGGCTACCTCAGGAATCACAAGTCAGTGGCAGATCAACTAGGTATCTCGGCTTCTGGGATATGGCTGGCTGTTGCCTGGGACAGTGGGACCAATGGCCCACATGTCTCTCAACCTCCAAGCCAATCTGGGCTTATTCACCTGGGGATTTCAAGGGTCCAAAAGAAAGAAAGACATGCAAGAACGTGAGCCTAGACTCAGAACTGGCACATTATCATTTCTGCTGTATTTTATTGGCCAAAGTGAGTCATAAAGTTAGCCTAGATTCAAAAGGTGATCAAGAGATTCACCTCTTACTGGAAGGAGCTGAGACGTCACACGGCAAAGGACATGGATATAGGGAGGCATGAAAATTTGTGGCAATTTTTGTCATGTACCACAATAAGCATATATTGTGTCATGTAATTGTATTTCTTTATACTTTATTTCACAATGACTTTGTTAGCTCATAGCAAACACAAATACAATGATACGGTAACATGTGCCTAATTTTGAAATTAAACTAGGAGTAATATAAATTAGAGCAGGGGGTCAAAGTCACAGTTCTTATAATGAAGAACATGCTACTGCAAACAGTGAAGTCTTCATTGAATCTTTCAAACCTCGAGATGCCAGGCTTAGCCCAAAAGCCTATCAGATAAGACGATGACATAAAGTGAGAGCAACGGAGTCTTTGAAACACGACCTGCATAGAGCATATGTTGGGACTGGGTCAAGAGTTAAGGGATCAGTGGTGTGATTGCCTGGGTCCCTCTCTTGAACCCTTTATGGCTGCTATTCAAGCAACTCGTATGAGGCTTTTGTGATGCAGAAGAAAGGGCTCTGGAGCCAGAGAGTCTTGAAGAACATTCCAGTTGAGAAACTGGGATTTGAACCTTGTTCTGTGTGGCTTTTCTTCTCAATATTCTCAAGTTGAGGCTGATGATGCTTTTAGGCAGAATGTAAGTCATGTGAAAAAAGTGTTTTAGATGTTAGTAATGACACCTTCCTGCTGATTGTTTACCTCAATTTATCTTGTTTCCCAAAAAATGTGAGTAACTTCCTTTCAGAGAAGGATTGCATCTCAGTTCTACTTCTTGGTGTCATCCACAGGTACAGCCCAAAGCACAGCATATTCATGAAGTCCATGAACATTCTGAATCTTGACCCCAAATGAGATTCCCAAGAATAGTTTCCAAACCCAAAGCAATGACGCTGTCCAGGACATGGAAGGAAGAAGATTTTCGTACCTTTGAGCCTTTTATCATCTCAGATCTCCAAGTGTTTCTGGGACTGTAGGACATTAGGAGTATTTTGTAACACAGTGGTTCTCTTGGAAGTGTATGGGTGGGGGTTGCTTTTTACTAAAGCAAGTCTGTGGCTTGGTGAGGCTGCATCATTTGCATCTGTCTCTGTGAAAAGATAGTGGGCCATGATGCAGGAAGGACTTTGGGCCTCGACTGAGTCAACCATTCATTTATATTTCCTACGTGTCTACTATGTATGTTCTAGGCTCTGGGAATGTGAACGAGAGAGACAAAATTCCTGCTCTTACGAAAACCATACATTATTTGTATCTTCTGGATTATAATGTCTATCCATGGAAACCAAGGGGAAAGTAGATAAAAATAAATGCATAAGTTGAATTCAGATAATGATAAATGGGATTTTTCTTAAAGCAGGGTGTTGTGATAGAGAGCAAGTGGTGCTGGGAGGAGAGGTGGGCACTATTTCAACTGGGTAGCATGGAAGACCTCACTGGTAAAGAGGAGATTGGAACTGAGATGTAAACATACAGAAGGAGCTAACCATGTAGCTCTTTCCAAGCATAGGGTTAGCAAGGATAAGCTTGGTGTATTTAAAAAACTGCAAAGATGGCATGATTGAAGATGCAGAGGGCAGGGCTGAAAGGGAGGAAGGAAGCCAGAGCTGGGCAGAAGTCAGATCATGTGGGTCCATGTTGCCCTTATAGACTTAGTAAGAATCTGGAAAACTTCTTGGTAATGTTTTTAATTGGAGGGTTTTAAGCAGGGGAATTATATAATTTGATTTACACCGATAAGCATCGTTTTTGAAAAAGGCACTTGCTTACATCACATATAATAATTTTCTACTTAATTCAGAGAACTGTATGTTATTCTATGTTCTGGTGAGAAATGGATAATGAAGACGAACATGTCTCAATTCCAGTAAAAAATGTGATGACAAGATCCTAAGGGTATAATGTGATTTTTAAAATGACATCGAACACCAGGGCTGCTTTTTTTTTAGAGAAGATTCTAGGGAGGGAGGTTATTTTGAGATAAGATGTTATTGAGGAAACCCTCCAAAATAAAAGGCCAATGAGGAAGAGAAAATCTTAGTGCAAGTATATACATTTAGTTCTGAGTTTCAAATCTTTAGGTCTGATAGCTTTTTAAATGTAACTGCCATTAGTGACTGACACCTTGGTTCAAAGCCCGAGTACATGAAAGCTTTGTTTACTTGAATTAAATTTCCAATATGCACAGCTAACTCATATCTGATAAAAACTTAGAATGTTCCTTGAAATATTCTGGAATGGAGGACCACATGGCCTAAGCACTAATAATGGCCACTCTGCCATGGACTGAGTTTAATATCACAGTGCGGTCTGAGGACCTGTCTGTATTTATATGTGTTCAGAGACTTCAGAAATGGGCCCTTTGCTCTCAGCCTGCCCTGTTCCCCATTATTTTCTAGGGAATGAATACTCTAGTTTAAGAATCCTGAGTGGGTGATTAATATTAGTGACAGTATATGCATCTATCTATGTCATTCATTAGACCTTGCCTTGCAGATTCCTGAACTATTCATGACACGTTTGTGAATTTTCTACTTGTACTAGTATGCTGTTCTGTAGCGAAATAGGCCTTCTCTGAAAATATAAATATTAGGAATTATGGGAAATAAAAATTTTTCTCTGTACAACTATTAGAATGGCCAAAACTCAAAACATTACCAATATCAAACGTCGGTGAGGATGGGAAGGAAGCAGGAGGCACTCTTGTTCATTGCTGGTGGGGATGCAAAATGGCACAGCCACTTTGGAAGGCAGTTTGGCAGTTTCTTACAAAACTGAACATACTCTTACCATATGGTCCAGCATCATGCTCCTTGGTAACTTATGTCTACACAAAAACCTGCACAGGAATATTTATAGCAGCTTTATTCATAATTGCCAAAACTTGGAAGCAACTAAGGTGTCCTTCAGTAGGTGAATGGATAAAAAAAAAACTGTGGTTCATCCAGACGCCGGAATATTATTCAGCGCTAAAAAGTAATGAGCTATCAAGCCATGAAAAGACATGGAGGAAACTTAAATGCATATTACTGAGTGAAAGAAGCCAATCTGGAAATCCTGCATACTACATAATTCTAGCACCATGACGTTCTGGAAAAGACAAAACTATGGAGATAGTATAAAGATCAGTGGTTGCCAGCGGTTGGGGGAAGGATGAATAGGCAGATCACAGAGAATGTTATGGCAACGGAGCTATTCTGTATCTACTTTGATACTATAATGGTGGATACATATCATTATATGTTTGTCTAAACCCATAGAATATACAACACCAGGAGTGAATCTTGATGTAAACTATGAACTTCGGGGGATAATGACATGCCAATGTGGGTTCATCAGTTTTAACAAATGTACTGCCCTGGCACAGATGTTGGTAGTGGGAGAAGCCATACATGTGTGGAGATATGGCGTATATGGTAAATATCTGTTCCTTTCACTCAATTTTCAGTGAACCAAAACTGCTCTAAAAATCTGTTTTTAAAAAATAAATAAATGAAAGCTATAATTTATTTCTCAGTTTTTATTGAACACCTACTATGGGCCAAGAACTAAAAATTAATGTTGGGATTCAACGATAAACAAAAAATACAGTGTACTGGCTTTTCTGATAGAGAAGTAAGAAGTATGTTGGTTACAATGGGAATATGTGCAAGGGGACTGCCTCCTGATTCTGGAGATTAGGAGAGTTCCCAAGTGATATATAAACAGAGATCTGTGAAATAAAAAGGAGTTTGGCAATGTGTAGGGCTAGGGAGAAAGAAGGTAATTATATTGGAGGAAAGAGTGCTTATTGGAGGAAAGAATGCTTAATGTAGAAGAGACATGAGCAGATTGCAAAAGGGAGTTAGAATGAGGATGGAGAACACGGAACTGAACGTGGCTCAGGTAGGCAGGAAGTAGATGAAATCAACATTAATGACTTAGTGCTGAAATTTCCAACCACTTGGGAATTCAACATCTTTTCATTGTTTAATCTTAATTACCTTTTTATCTTCTCTGTCATGTCTCTCAGAATTATATACTTAATTCTCAAATATAGGTGAGAGTAAATATATGAGAATGCTTAGACAAGCCTGTGACACACATTGAAGAAGGTATAATGTATTTATGTGAGGTGATTGAAACGGAGAAAAGGAGACTGAGTGACGGACTCCATGTCACACAGGGGCTGAATGGAGGAGCTGGGATTCAAATGCAGGCGACCTGACTTGAGTCTTCGCTTTCAGTCAGTTTCTATGCTGCTTGTGAAGTGTTCCTGTCAGAAATACCACTGTAGCATATTAATATTTCAGCCCACATTCCCTAAAAAGCCAAGCCCGAGCCAAAAGCCTGTATTAGTGGAACAGAAATTCTATTAATATAATTTTTAATATCAATAGAATATTTTGATGGCTTACAGGATGTTTTTGGCTCACTTTCTTGCAAACGTATTAAGTAATCAATTTTACTCATTTCATTTAGAAGTAAAATCCCTACTGAGCTGCCCATAGCTCCCAGAAAACTGCTTGGTCTCAGAGAATGTCTTCAGAAAAACTGTACAAAGATACTTCATCTCTGAATACCTCATTCGACAGAAGGTAGGGAGAATTTATCTGCTAATTCCTGGCCCCACTGGTAAAGGTTGTTCCAAAGGATATTTAACTTGCCTATACGTTTTCGGTTGTGGGTACATGGATGCCAAGTGGATCCAAGACATCTCATGTCTCAGCAGCAACAGACGATTCCTAAAACATGAGGCAAGAGGCTTGAAGCGTAGACTGAAGTATGGTGCTGTTGGCGTATGTCCTTGAGTCATTTGCAGGCTAGGGGAGCAGTCAATGTAGCAGCCTGCAGTCAAGGCTGAGGCAGCAATGACTGGGCTCCATGAGCACAAGCTCCACTCAAGGCCAAAATCAAGGAAAGTGAATAGACCTAGGGTGATGCATGAACTGGACTGAGGACACTTCCAAACTTCTGATGACATTAAATGGAAGGGTATCAAATAGTATATCATACACGTATTATACAAGCACAGAATAGGCCAGATCTGGACTTATTCTACAATTTGTCTTCATTCTATTGGTAATGGAGAAGGGCTCAATAAGGGCATTGTCCTTTCTGGCACAACTAACTATACAATTGCAAATTGACTGGGAATGCAGGTGAATGGAAACTGGGACCCAGGCCTAAAACTCCTGATGAAGTCAGAATTTAGATGATAAACAGTTGAATTATCCCATAAAGGTACTTAATAATCCTAGGAGATCATAAAATAATTAAGCTATGTAAACACTCCCGTAACCTTCATTTCTTATATGATCCTTAGATTCTGCCACATACTAAAATTACTTAGAATCCTAGAACGTGAGACCCTTGAAAGTTGTTGATCCTGTCTGTTTCTTCTTGATCAATTCGCATATTTCTGGGTAAAATTAGCAACTCAGTATAATTTGTTGACTTAAATGCAATTTTGTATTCAAGGCCAGCTATACAATTTGCAGGGCTTAATGCAAAATGCAAATGTAGGACTCATATTCAAAAAACAGGAAGTATCATTACAGCTGAGCACACTGGCTCATGACTATAATCCGAGCTACTCAGGATGCTGCAGTCAGAGAATCACTTCAGCCCAGGAGTTCCAGGCTGCAGGGAGCCATTATTGCACCACTGCACTCCAGCCTGGGTGACAGAGTGAAACCCTATCTCAAAAAAAAACAAGACCAGCTTATTGAAGGAGGTGGGGAGGAGAATCCTACCAAAGTTCTGAAGTATACAGCTTTTTCCTAAAAAATATTTTACTTACAAAACATAGGAGTAATAGTGATACATGAGTAACAATACGAACTTACAAATTGAAAAAAATATTTTTGGTGCCGTAATTTTATATAATCAATAAATACAAGAAATTAATCAGAATTAGAAGGCAATTTAATAAATTAATATTTTGACTGCTTACAAGATGTTTTTGGCTCACTTCCTTGCAAATTTATTAAGTCATCTAATATGGTCTGGCTCTGTGTCCCCACCCAGATCTCATCTTGAATTGTAATCTAAATTATAAGCCCCACGTGTTGGGGGAGGGGCCTTGTGGGAGATAATTAGATCATGGGGGTGGTCCCCCAGTGCTGTTCTTGTGATAGTGAGTGAGTTCTCATGAGATCTGATGGTTTTATAAGGGGCTTTTCCCCACTTTACTGGGCACTTCACTTTCCTGCCATCATGTAAAGAAGGACGTGTTTGCTTCCCCTTCCACCATGATTGTAAGTTTCCTGAGGCCTCCCCAGCCCTTTAGAATTGGGAGTCAATTAACCTCTTTCCTTTATAAATTATCCAATCTTGGGAAATTCTTTATATCTGTGTGAAAATGGACTAGTACATCATCAAATTTACACTTTAAGTAACTTCATTTTAAAGCATATTGAAAATGATGTCATCTTGACAAATTCAAGATTAAAAATAATTTTTGATAATGTTTATTTAAGAAGGATCTGTGGATACAACTTACTGGAGTTGTTAAGAGTTCTTTATAAACTATGATAACATAAGCATCACTTTCTGATAATTTCAAAATATAAATTGTTTAGCATATCTAGAACTGATTTTGTGTAATAATTTTTCTAAAATGATTTAACTCTTCATATATGTTTTGTGTAAGTTTAAATTTAATTATGTATGTAAATTTATACAATGGCCTTTTAACGTTTCCTCTGACATTTCCTGTAAACTTGTAGAGGTCAAATAAGAAACCACAAGTGACTTTATGATTTGTATATGAACCAAAACACATACTTATGCATTCTGTTGCCGTATCTTCAATTACAAGGAAATGTTTAGTATTAAAATTGCTTTCTTCATTAATAATTGGTTCATCTAAAGTGTCATGTGAAAATAGTGGCTGGTTGGTTTGTTTGCTTGTTTTTCTTATTTAACACTATAGTATTTCTATTCTATTTCTAAACCTGTAGAGATTTGCTTTGCAATGTTGTAGCAGTTTTTAAAAGCAAAGATTCTAAATGCTTTGAAGAATTCCTATAACTCCCTGATGTGCTTTATTTTGATGTTCCTGTGTTCACTTTTGTTTTGTAAAAACTTACTCTCAAAGCTTGCTGCTTTCACACTGGCAGTTCCTGTTTCAGGATTAAGAAGTGGAAGAGTTAATATTTGTGTAGGCAAGGCGGACAAGCTAGCCTCCCATCATAGGCCTCCATCCTGTCCCCAGGTGAAGCTTCTCCTTTCTCTGGGGGCTGTGACCCGTTGTGCAGATACTTTTGCTGCTGCTGTTGATGACATGAATCTGGGCTTAGGTTGAGCCCCATCCGACCCCTTTGACCTCTTGGTGCCCTGGACTGCCTGGAGGCTACTCAAGTGCTGGACAAGTAGGCCAACTGCTGGAGCATGCAGCTTGCTGTGCTCGGCACAGCTGCTGCTGGATCACAATTGTGAGTGCTCACTGCTATCTGGTAGATCTTCTCTGCTCACATAAGTACTCAGATAGAATGATTAAGAGTTCTACAATGGTGACAGAAGAGCATTAAACCAAGTGTGGACCCTTGCAAGTGCAGAGCCTTGTGCAACTGCACTGATAGATGGAACAGGTATCACACCCATGAAGCTGGCCCTGGCTTCATCTTAATTTTAGAAAGACATCTGTCTGCTGTGAAAAATATGGGCCAGATCAATGGCATTCAAATATTTTAGATTCCAACCACAGTAAAAAGTATATGAGTACATTTTACATTATGACTCAGAATACACACACACACACACACACGTACACACACACACACCTGTATACCTCTGCAATGAAAGTTTCCTGAAACAATACTTGTAATTAATACATGCACAGCCTTTTTATATTTTCTGTACATTTTTAAGGCTACTAACAACCCACTCAACTGATTTCACAACCTATTAATCAGTTGCAGCCCTGCAGTTTGGAAAACACTGGGCTGGATAGTGGTGCCAGTTGATAGCCTGATGATTATAATAGTCTGCATTTTGCAACTTTGAAATATTGTCCATTATCTAACTGAAAAATCTTGCTCAAAGGCAGTTGATTGTAAGAATAGTTGTAAAATAGGAGAGAAGTGTTTTGTGATGCAAGACAGGGCTCAATACTCGGCGCTGCCTGCTTGAATAGTTTCATCAGTTATTTGGATGAAAACGTTTTATTCCCATTCGACACGTTAATTGAGCACAGTTTTTGTGCTGAGTCCCATTCTCTGGCTGGGGTTGTTCACAATCAGGTGAGCCCAAACATGTGAATCAGTATGATGAGGTTAAATGGTGTGACGGAGGTCAGCACCAGGGCCATGGGAGTACGCTAGAAGGCGTGCACTCTTCACAATGCAGACCAGTCAGGCACTGTTTTGGGAACTTTTAGGGGAAGCTCCCAAAATACGAATTATGAATACAATCAAAATGAGCGTGATGGAAACAATGTACATATATTTTTGCTCATCCCCAGTATATACAGACAACATTGCATATACGATAAAATGATGTTCTAAAACAAAAATGAAAATAGCTT